TGAATCAATTACCTGCCCAATAAAATCCTGTCACTTTCATTACTGCTCCCTCCACCTGCAGAGACACAGATGAGATATCCGAGGGAGGCAGCTGATGAATCAGTCCTTCCCTTTGAAGAGGGTAGTGGTGGCAGGGAAGCAACAGCATCTCTCGCGGGCATCAGTGTTGGGCTTGTGGCTCAACATGCCTCCTGTAGCCACCCTCATTTAGCTGCATCCTCCTCTTTAAAAGAAATAGACCAGCCTTACCCAGGCAGTGCCCTTCAGATGTTATGGACCACAAACCCCATCAGGCCCACCCAGCACAGCTGCATGATCCTGGAGCTGATGGGAGTCACCAGCTTAGGGAACGACAACATAAGATATGGCAATAATTATAGGCAATTGATGAGGAGCGGGTCCCTGGGCACAGACGGCCTTCAGCTTGGATGGTTTCAGACACAATCATGGGGAATTAGGCTTTCAATTGTTATGTGCCATTTCCAGTGTTGGGGGCATTATGTCTCTGAATGACAGTTACTGGGACTCACAAGTGGGAAGTGTGCTGGTGTGCTCAGGTCCTGCTTGCAAGCTTCCCATAGGTGACTGGTCGGCCAGTGTTGGAAGGAGGATGCTGGGCTAGATGGGCCTTTGACCAGCAGGAGTCTTCTTAGGTTCCTACACAAAGTCAGCCCTTTCTGTCCTCTGTGTGTCACCAAAAGCACCGCTGATGCATTAGGGTGTGGAACTAGAGTAGCCAACAGGCAACCCCAGAGCTGAATCTGGCTTCCCGCACCCTTACAGCATAGGCCCATTCCATGCCCTCCAACATTTCTCTGACGAAAAAAAGGGACATCCTATTCTACACCTGGAAGCCTCTCCCACATTTGATCTTGCTGCACACACAGATGTCATATTCGCATTTACATCTGTCACCTTGAGCCAATTACAACCTCTCTCCACCGCACCTACCTCAAAGGATTGTTGTAAAGAAAAAAAATGTGTGGGGAAAGGAATTGTGTGCAACACCTTCCACAGATAAATAGAACGAAATATTTTTAAAAAGTTAGCTGAATCGGAGCAATCAGCTGAGTTGCCGTTTGTTCCAATTCAATATTAAAGAGTGGGTTTTTGCAAGGAAAGCGCTGAGGGAAGAAGAAGAAGAAGAAGAAGAAGAAGAAGAAGAAGAAGAAGAAGAAGAAGAAGAAGAAGAAGAAGAAGAAGAAGAAGAAGTAGAAGAAGAACTCAGACACAGCACTTTAAACCACAAACCTATGCCTAGAAAGTGCTGAGCGAAAGGTAAGTGTGGATGAGCGGTCTACCTCAGAGGAGCGTCACAAGCATGAAAGTAATGCGGCTTGTAAAACACTATGCCCCATTAAATGGCGCAGATATGTCAAAGAGGAACAACAGAGAAAGCTACCACAAAAGTAGAATCAGATATAATTATTCTGGGAACATTTTTTTTAAAAAAAGAAGTGTTTCAACCAGGGATTCTCTTGAAGTTTGCCTCCATTTAACAAGCTTCCACTTCCTACGTTTTGAATTGCAGATCTTTGAAGCTGAAAAGCGAGAGAGAGTTTACAATGCTAATTTTGGTTTTGAAGCACCAGCGGTCCCTGCTCCGACCATTACACCTCTCTCCCTGTTTGAAGATAGGAGATTTGAAGGATCAATAGGGACTGCTGGCTTCCTGGGGCTTCTCTCGCTGGTTGGCTCTTTTTACAGCATTATAATTGGCTTGGGTGGGCTTGCTTCTCCTGCTCAATTTTTCTTTCTTTCTTTCTTTCTCTCTCTCTCCTTCTTTCCGATATGAATCTTCTTCCTGATCAACTAGGAAGAAGGTGTTTGGAGAGCAGCCCCGCGAGTGCATCTCCCACTAACTATGGGAAGCTAAATGGATGAAAACGAAGAGGAGGAGACTGGGCCATTTTCAGAGGGAGCTATTGGATGATGGACCCTTTTGATCAGATCAGGACTTAATTGTCTTGGGCTAACTGGTGATTTCATGCTCTGCCTGGCACAGAGGAATCTTGGAGCCACCTGGAGCATACATCTTTATTCTCCAATCTTCCATGCACACAGAAAGAAATGACAGCTGAAGCCAAGCAGGAAGCTCTGCATGCAGAACATCCCAGGTTCTAAAACCCCTGAAGAGCCGGTCAGTGTTGACCAGAAACAAGGAACCTGTGGCCCTCCTGCTGGTGCTGGACTCCTAAATTCCACTAGTCTCAGCCCATAGGGCCAATGCTCAAGGATGATGGGCGTTGTAGTCCAGCAACATCTGGAGGACCACAGGTTCTCCATCTCCTGTGTAGACCTTGATAGCTCAGTTGGTTGGAGTTTGGTGCTGATAACACCAAGGTTGCAAGCTAGCTGCATATTCCTGCATTGCAGGGAGTTGGACTGGATGATCCTCAAGTCTGGATGGATGATCATGCAAGTCTGTGACTTCCATGACATCACACTATTAATGCTCTGACAATACAGTGGTACCTCGGGTTAAGTACTTAATTCGTTCCGGAGTTCCATACTTAACCTAAAACTGTTCTTAACCTGAAGCACCACTTTAACTAATGGGGCCTCCTGCTGCTGCCACGCCACAGGAGCACGATTTCTGTTCTCATCCTGAAGCAAAGTTATTAACCTGAAGCACTATTTCTGGGTTAGCGAAGTCTGTAACCTGAAGCGTATGTAACCTGAAGCATATGTAACCCGAGGTACCACTGTATCAGGCAGCTTCCCCTGTCCCTCCACCTCCACCAGCATACAGTGCGTTTTCACTGGGCCTGAAGCTGTTAATTGGTTCATGGTTAAATTAAAAGCCAACTGCCAGAGAAGGAACAGCTGGAAGAAACTTGCTTCGCACATGTGCTGCTATTGAGTCAGGGTGGTGTAATGGCTCCAATCTCAGACTAGGACCTGGGAGATCAGGGTTCGAATCTTCTCTCGGTGATGAAGCTCCTTGAGTGACTTCGGAGCAGTCACTGCCTCTCAACCTAACTTTGTGCTGATTAGATGAGGAAGGAGCGAACTATGTATGTCACCTTGTGCTCTGCGGAGAAAATGCAATATAATAAAACAAATAACACTTCACTCCAGCTCAGTGTTGCCCTGGGACCGAAGAGCACCCATACTTCTGTCCATGCTGCAATTTGTAGGCACAGCTCCATGATTTCCAGGCACGAGTCTGAGCAGGTTTTTGTCTGTATTTTTTGGGTCCTGCCACTTTCCCCAGGAAAACCCACTGTTTACCCACTGAATCAGAACAAATATCTTTCAGCAGTAAACATCAAGTTTTTCCAGGGAAAGCAAAGGGACGAAAGGAAAACTACCCAGACCCACATCTGGAAATCACAGACCTGTGACGACAAATCTCAGCACTAAATGAAAGTCTGGATGAGCCCTAAATTAGCTGAACTTAAATCCCATTGAAATCAATGATCAATTTAGTCACGACTCAGCTTAAGTCTCGTGGATTTAAGTGAGGCCTCAGTTCAGCTAGTTTAGTCTGGGATCCAACCATTCTCAAAAGAATGATCCCTGATAGCAATATTGCAAGACTAGTCCCACAGTCAATCACAGTCTTTTCAAATATGATAATCTATGTCAGGGAACCAGCTGCCCTCGTTTTCTCCTGTTATGCACAACCTACAGGCTGATCAAGGAGAATCAATACACAGCCGCCCCCCTGGCTGTTTTCAATTCTCCCTTCAGTTCAGGCTGAATTATATGTTTTGTGTCCTCTTGCTTCCTGCAATCCACACACTGGATTTTTTTGCAGGGGGGGGTCACAGCTGTTACAACCCTTACGCCACACAGTAATTATATTTTCCAATCTGTTGCTATGCAATGGAAAAGCATTTTCTGCCATCTGTCCATGTCCACTTCTTCACAGGAAATGGGTAGAAAAGGGGATAAACTTGACTGCTTCAGTTTCAAAGCAAAGAATCCTACTCTAACTGCCCCAAATGAGACTTGGTTTTAGCCAGAGCTCAGCCCCAGCCCTATTTCACACCACAACCCTGAAAAATGTATTGCAGTATTGCTAATATCAATACTAATACTTTCTTTGATATGGTGCTTTCAGGCCCTCAACATGATTCACATGCATTTGCTTGTTGCAATCCTTACAACATCCCTGCAAGGATGGAGGTGTTGTAATCCCCATGGTACTAAAGCGGAGAGCAAAGGAGTGAAGGAACAAGACTTTCAGCCATTTGGTTTTTGTTTATAAACCTGGGATGTATTTGCTTTAAAGTTGCTTCAGGGTATACCAGGGACAAAGGAACAGCTGAGGAACTGCAGTCCTAACAGGGTCATCCTACCCAATTGGGAGCATCAGCGGAGGTGTTTTTTGTAGTAGTTCAGTAGTGCAAAAAAGAAACTATGACCTCACTTCCACCAGTTGAGACAGCAGAGTGCTTAGTTTGTGTTATTTTTGGTTGCTATTTTGTTTGTTAATATTCTTTTATAGATTATAAATGCTGTATTGATTTATTAATCATATAATTGCTTTAATTGTGGTGTTTACGGTAGCTTATTTTTTTAGTTGCTGCTTTGTTGACAGTGCTTTATATGTTGCAATTGTTTCACGGATGCTTTGTTAATTATTCTATAAGAGTTATGCTGTGTTTGTGATGGTCTATTAAGTTCTACCTTGTTGTTGTTATTTTGTTTGTAAGCTGCTTTGAGATTCATTTGAATGAAAAGTGGCAAGAATATGTAATAAATCTAATCCGAACAAGAGGTGAAGGCACCTTCGACGTTTCTGATTATCCAACAGTCACTTTTCAGGTAAGTAACATTGTACCTCAGTTTACGAACTTAATACATTCCAGAAGTCCGTTCTTAAACCGAAACCGTTCTTAAACCGAGGCGCATTTTCCCTAATGAAGCTTCCTGCCGCCGGTGCCCTTCCACCATTCAGATTCCGTTCTTAGACCGAGGTAAAGTTCACAAACCGGGACACTACTTTCAGTTTTGCGGAGTTCGTAAACTGAATAGTTCGTAAGCAGGGCTGTTCTTAAACCGAAGTACCACTGTATTTTATTATTTGAACAACAGGATTTTTCCAAGCAGCATTAATGACAACAATTCCTTGACAGCTGGCCTGAAGAAAGCAGAGAGGAGCATTGTTTGACACACACACCCCTCCTCTGACGCATTTGGAGTTTGGAGGCAGAGCAGGGGAGGAGTGGAGAGCGGGGAACCGGTCGGAGGTCCTCCCTGTCTTCCTTTCAACTTGGCTTGAGCTCAGCTCCACCCGGATGCCCTCATCCTCCGCCCTCGTACCTTTAAACACACAGAGGCATGAAAAATAAATGTTACTGGGAAGAGGCAGCAGTGGAAGGCTGGAAAGCAATTAGCAGGCAGAGAAGCATAATTAGTGCTCAGAATGAGAACAGCAGCGAAGAAATAAAGTAGCATTCGGATGCAATCAGGGTCGTGCCTGAATTACAAACCGTTAGCTGAATTGCTAATTAAGCTCAACGAGTGAATCACATCTTATTAAGGGCCCAACACAGGCCTCACTTAACTTGCCGTCCTGCCAGCAGGTTGGCAAAGAGAAGGCGTGGCATGGGGCTGACAAGATGTCTGGCATAGTGGGGGAGAAGTGTTCCATGGGGTGCCGCTGGCAGAGGATGACAGGCAAGGGCATCAACTCTTCTCAAGGGGTTGAAATTCCCACCAGATTCTCCCTCTGCCCCAAGACTGGCACTGCCAGGCAGCACGAGCAGACTCACCACGTGATGGGCCCAGTCAGAGAGAAGCCATGTGCCCTACTTCACCAAGGGCAGTTCTCAATTTGGAGGCATCCTCTATTTCATCATCTGCCCAGTCCACGTCTGGTTTAAACATAAGGAGTCCTAAGAAGGGAGAGCGGGAGGTTGCCTTGGAGTTGCCTATCTGCATTCAGCACCTGGACAGCAGCAGCTTGAGCAGGCAGACAAGCACATCACCTGGACATGGTCTTCCCCACTAGGGTGAGATGCATTGGCTTTCTATTTAAGTTATAGATTTGCATCTGTCCTTATAAATTAGCAGATGTAAAATTTATGCAAATCCACATTCTCTTTTTCCCCTCAAAATTTAAATGCCTGGTTGACCCTTCTATCGTCTCTCAGTTCCTCAGCACTGCAACCCCCAGCAGAATTCTTTGGGGATTATTTATTCCTGTTTGGCATGACCAGTTTGTTCTTCAGCTGTTCTGCAGGTCCATCTTTATCTCTTTCTCTCTGTGATTTTCCTGTTCCTTCCTTCCTGAATGTCTGTCTTTTATTCACATCTTCCCTTCCCTCAAACCCATTTAGTTAAGTTTGTGCAGGCTCCTCCTCCTCACTTTGTACAATGTGAAAAACCCAGGGCTGTTCTTCATTTACTTTAACCTTGGCCCAGGACTAGGTGGAACTTGAAAGCCGTTGGAAAGAGAACTTCATTTTGCTTCTGTAAAGGTGAGAACAAAGCTTTGAAGCATCTCAGTCTAAGACCACCATGATGACAAAAGAGATTTAGAGAGGCCCATTTATTTCCTAGGTGCCGTAAGCCCCTCACAGGGGTTGAATCTCCTAAGGAGTTCCACAAGAAAATATTTTATGAAAACACTGATAATATCAGCAGCAATTTATACCAACACTTTACCTCAGAGGTGTGCCAAATCGAGATTAAAAGAAAAAAGTTTGCCCTAGGTGTAGATGATAGGACATATATCTTAGGATTTTACAAGGCTGACTTTTATTTATTTGGTTTATTTTCTTCCAGCACAGAACCCAAGCCATCATGCATGTGCTTCCAGGCACCAGCCAGACCCAGACCGGCTTAGCTTAAGCCAGATGGTGGCCTGATATGCTTTCACATCCCCTGAGGAGCTATGCTGGGACTGAAACTCTTCTCAAGCATGGCTTCATTGTGATATATTCAGTTTTTAGTTGTTGTTTTAAGATGTCAATTTGCATCCCCATCAGAGCTGTGAAGGATATCACCCCAGTGCTCTGCCAACTTATTTTTCCCCTGACCTGCCAGGGATTGCTGGGGATTGAACCTGGGATCTTTTGCATGCCAAACAAACGCTTTATCACTCAGCTCACAGTGCCTCTTTTCAGAAGCAAAACTCAAACCAGAATAAATTAAATAATGAACTTTTTGTTGTCACGCAAAACCAGTTGACTGAGACAGCTGCTGCCTCAACCTGCAGAACAGCAGGGTCAACCTCATTGCTTTGCAATCCACCCCAACCCCGTCTAACGCTACGTTAAGTTTTTTTGCCTGTGTTACTCCAGAAAGGAGTCTTCCTGGACAGGAAAAAATGTATGCTAAAGGAAGGCATGTTTCTTGAAGGGGGAAGGAATCCATGCTTAAATAAATATCTTTATTAAAGGGTAAAAGGACCCCTGACCATTAGGCCCAGTTGCGGATGACTCAGGGGTTGCAGCGCTCATCTCGCTTTATTGGCCGAGGGAGCCAGCGTACAGCTTCCGGGTCATGTGGCCAGCATGACTAAGCTGCTTCTGGCGAACCAGAGCAGCACATGGAAACACCGTTTACCTTCCCGCCGGAGCAGTACCTATTTATCTACTTGCACTTTGGCGTGCTTTCAAACTGCTAGGTTGGCAGGAGCAGGGACTGAGCAACAGGAGCTCACCCCGTCGCGGGGATTCGAACTGCTGGCCTTCTGATCAGCAAGCCCTAGGCTCTGTGGTTTAACCTACAGCACCCCCCATGTCCCTAAATATCTTTATTAAGATGAATCAAAATCCATGAAATAGTGAGCGGGTTTTTGAACTCTCCAGAACTCTTCCATCTTTTTGTAAGCTCACTGGGTGATCTACCTCACAGGGTTCTTATGGGGATTAAATGAGGAAGGGGAAGAACCATGTGTCCCACCTTGAGCTTCTTGGAGAAAAAGGTAGGAGATAAATGCAACAAATAAACATAAATGAATAAGAGAAACAAAGTTGTTGCAGAGGAATGGGGTGGGGTGTGAAGAATGGATGGAGGAGGACGGTGGCTTAAGGATAAAGCAGCAGATACAGATTTTTTTGCCTTCATATTAATCCACCTTTTCTCTTTATCTTCACCACCCAACAAGCTTTGCTGTCATCCCGCAAGGACAGAACCTTAAACCTTCCATTCAGTTTGTACCACGCTCTGCCTAGCTAAAGTTAGATCATGTCTATGTTTCAGAATATTCAACACTTCCTATTTTTACTTTGTTCATATTCTTAATTTCCTGTCTTCCCTTCAAGATGCTAAATCTTTGAGATTAAAGTGCCCTCTTCTGTCTGAAGGCCCCCATTCAGGTAAGCAAAGGAGCAAAATACCCCTACCAGTGATTCAGCTTTTTGAGTCTCATATTCCCACAACAAAGAGTGTTGTGACGCTCCAAGATTAACACATTTATTACGGCAGAAGCTTCCCAGGGTGATCCGGTCATCAGATTTGGCTGCATGCACTAAAAGGGGCCCATAATGCTGTATGTGCATAGGAGCATCTGCACGGACTGGAGATCACACTTATTCATTTAAAAATAGCTTCCCGGTGAGAACTAGGAAGTGCCCTATCCAGGCAAAGAGATGGTCCTTTCTGTCCTTTATCCCTGTGTCCCTTTTCCAGCTGCTTCACTTTATTCTTCACACACACACACACACACACACACACACCTGGTTATCAGCTTTTTCCGCCCCGCCCCCTCAACATTCTGTGCCATTGAATTGTTGTAGTGTTCAGGGGAGGGGTGGATTTGTGGGGCGTCTGCAAACCTCAGGGTGAGCCCAAGTCTGTGGATGTTTCCCTTCTGCACATGAGTGGTTTCGGCTCCAGCTCCATGACCAAAGGAAAATTAGACTACAATACTGGAGCGCTGCAATACATTTTTGCAGCATAACTCTGCTGCATGTGCTTTACCTGAGCCTGTGGTTGAGTGAATGGGGGGGGGGAGTTAGCAATGACGACTGTTCTAACTTCCTCTAACTTAAATCTTACTTCGTGCATAATTTTGTTTTGGTTAGTTTTGGAACACTTAAATGTGCAGCCAGTCTGCCTGAAACCATGAGTCTTCTGTATGCATGATTTTGCCTGAAAGCCCAAGAGGGCATTTTAAGTATGGGGGGGTGTTAATTTTAATTTTTTTTGGCCAGACTCACCCTCACTTCTGACCTATAATATTAACAGTAGACTACCTTCCAGAGCTGCTGTACAACACGTTCTCTTTGTAAGCTGCCTGGTCTGCATAATAATAGCAAACTAGTGAGAGCTGGACCATAAAGAAGGCTGATCGCCGAAGAATTGATGCTTTTGAATTATGGTGCTGGAGAAGACTCTTGAGAGTCCCATGGACTGCAAGAAGATCAAACCTCTCCATTCTGAAGGAAATCAGCCCTGAGTGCTCACTGGAAGGACAGATCGTGAAGCTGAGGCTCCAATACTTTGGCCACCTCATGAGAAGGGGACGACAGAGGATGAGATGGTTGGATGGTGTTCTTGAAGCTACCAGCATGAGTTTGACCAAACTGTGGGAGGCAGTGGAGGACAGAAGTGCCTGGCGTGCTCTGGTCCATGGGGTCACGAAGAGTCGGACACGACTAAACGACTAAACAACAACAACAATCCTGCAGAACTGTAGTATGCTGTTCTCTGAACCCAAGCTGCAATAAAGGCAGTGGATAACACCTCAGGGTTGTTTTAACTTACTCTTTCAGCTTCAGCCTAAACCCCAGCCTGCAAAAGGGGCTCTAACACTTCTGGGCAGCACTGGAGGGTTGTTATAAACCAGTTAGAGCCTGACCTGCAATATTCTCTGTGAACTGTCATAAATCACTCACTTCCAGCAACGGCCCCTGCCCACCTCTGTGTTCCTCAGCTTCAGGTTTTTAGTGCTATTAAAGGTTTCTGGACTGCCATAAATTGCAGAATGAAAATGGCTCCAAGTGTGGAAGTGGATTTGGGGATAGCTCTTGGAGCTTCAAAATTTAATGAAATTAAGAGAGAACAAGGCAGTGACAAAAATGAGGGGAATTTATGGCGCCCTCTTTGCAAAAGGATGGGACGCGGGTGGCGCTGTGGGTTAAACCACAGAGCCTAGGACTTGCCGATCAGAAGGTCAGCGGTTCGAATCCCCATGATGGGGTGAGCTCCCGTTGCTCGGTCCCTGCTCCTGCCCACCTAGCAGTTCGAAAGCACATCAAAGTGCAAGTAGATAAATAGGTACCGCTCCGGCGGGAAGGTAAACGGCGTTTCCGTGTGCTGCTCTGGTTTGCCAGAAGTGGCTTAATCATGCTGGCCACATGACCCGGAAGCTGTCTGCGGACAAACGGCGGCTCCTCGGCCTATAGAGCGAGATGAGCACCGCAACCCCAGAGTCGGTCACGACTGGACCTAATGGTCAGGGGTCCCTTTACCTTTACCTTTGCAAAAGACTGAAGACACTCTCCATGGATGGAATATGAGATGCTGAATACAGCTTTCCTTATGTTGTATTTTGATTGGGAAAGAACTTTATACCCCCCTAAAAGTTTCCTATTATTCCCAGGGAAATTAATTTAGAAAGCACTGCAGAATGTACCATTGCTTTTTCTTTCTTTTTTTAGAACCTACAACCATCATTTACCATTTAGTCTATCTTTCTATCATCCTCTGGGAAGGAAAGCATTTCAGCTTTTCGCTTTATTCATTGTGGGGAAGAAGAGTGGATGGGTTGAAGATGCTTTTGTCAATAGCTTGTGAAGTGATGCGAACAGTTTTCAATGACTGGAGAAGGGAGAGACAATTTAGGGTAATGTGGCATCATTGTGGCAAGGAAAAGAACTTTCCTGTCCTCAGGAAAGGGGAGTCGGTGAGGGTACCAGTAGCTGACTTAGCGGATGGAGAAGATCAAAGATGGTGACCTTCTACCAGCCCTGACAGGTTGCTTCAGCAGTGGGGGAAATGGATCAAAGATCCCTCATGGGGGTCTTGGCTCCTGTCAAGAAGCCTTTGACAGAAGCTCATCTTTTGATTACCCAAAGTTGGAAAAGCATTACAGAGCTTGGAGATCAAAGCATCGCTACAAAAACGAGTGCAAAATAGCCACTGCTGAAAAATTAACTCATTAAATAAGAACATTAAAGGGAGAAGGAAAACCTGAGACGTTTTTCCTTGATACAACTTTATCCATTTCCAAAATTGGTCAGGAAGGGAGCATGCTGCTCCTCATATTTAAGGCACATCGGAAGAGACAAGCACTGCAAAGGGAAGCTGGTGTGCAGCTGCAAAGTTTAAAAATGCACAAGCAAAAATACGTAGCACCTCATAATCGTTTTGAGGTACTCAAGCCACAAACTCCACCAGCAAGCTCAGAGCCCTTGACTTGGCCTGGTGCCTTGTCTGGCTCCTCAGATGGAGACTCTGCAGCCTCTGCAATCTTGATTGCTGCTGGGCTCTGGAGTCATGACAGGATTGTGGAGGAAAGCTACGGTAATCCATTTCACTTCCCCCTCAGAAAGCCCCTGTACCTATTTGTCCGCAGTTTGGCAAGCTTAATCCACTCTGGAGGAGCAACTTTGCCTGTATATTTCATCCACTTTGGTCAAAAGGGGGGGGGAGAGTGATAACCATTTTTAGATTCCTTGGTATAGTGAGTGGGGAAACCAGAACTTTGTTTTATGCTGAGCAGCTCAGAACCAGAATTACAGATGAAAGCTGAGACAGCACAGAGGGATGCATAAACAGATTAGGGTGTGTTTGTGTGTGCCTCTGTGTGTGATTTAATGCACAGATACAGGGGACCTGTGCTCATCCATAGAAAATACACCTATTTAGGCATAATATATGGTAGCAGAATTTATTAGTGGGTTTAACAAACTTGGCCGCAGTAGTGCCAGAGCACTTTCTGCATGCAGGCACCAGCTCACTTGCATTTGCTGTGAGCATAATAATCCAGTCAGGCATTTGCCTGTGAATGCACATAAAGCAGCAAAAAATGTTCAGAAAAGCAGGAATGTTAACTGAACAAAATGACAGTAGTCCAAATGTTTGTGGGTGGCACACAGAGAGACACACGTGAGGGAGGTAGAAGTTGGAAGAAACCATCTGTCCAGGCAGGAAAAGAATGCCCTTTGCCATCTGCTTACCTGTAACCTTTCCCTGGTACCCAGAAAGTTTTGCCTGATAGAGGGGTTCAAGCCTGACTCACACAATTGCAGACAACTTCTTGCCACATTACATCTCCTTAGATCAGCTTCCTTGTTGTCCCACATGGGTTGTGAATCTGGCCTGAAAGTTCTCAAAGATAGATAGACAGACCCTTCAGCAGGGGAGGCCATGGGTTTAATCACCTTTAAAAAAAACAATAAAAAACCAGCTGTCTCCTGACATTTGTTTTAAGGTATTCAAGTTTTCTGCAGCATTCAACAGCAGACCACTTTTTCCCCCCACGGGAGCATCAGTTGCATCTTACTGAACAATTGATTCCTACCTTCAGGGTTTTTTAAAACTGTCTTCATAGATTCTTGTCAGGGTGGAAGGGGCACACTCTGTGCAAAGCCTCTAATGGTAATTCAGGTCCTACGCTTGCATAAGAACATATGGATCCAGCATCCTGTTCTCACAGTGGCCATCCAGATGCCTGTGGAAACCTGCAAACAGATCCAAGCACAAGAGCACTCTGCCCTCATGCGGCTTCCAGCAGCTGGTATCCAGAAGCATAGCTTCCCCAAAAAATGGGGTCAGGGCATAGCTATCAAAGCTAGTAGCCATTGATAGTTCTCCATGATTTTGTCCAATACTCTTTTAAAGACATTCATGTAAAGACCATGTGAAGGAGGACTTGTTTTTGTGTCTTCCAACATTCAGCTTTATATGATGTTCACTAGTGAGAAGGAGCGACGTCCTTTCTCTACCCTCTTTCTCCATGCTATATATAATTTTATAAACTTCTAGCATCATGCATGGCAAAAAGCACGAGGAAAGGGAGAAGGGAACCACAGCACAGTGGCAAAGCAAACAGCAACCCCACACAAATCAGGCGGTGCTGGACCCCACAGAGTTTGCACATTGTTCAGAACTGTGGCACAGACAAGGGAAAGAAATGTGCCAGAAAATACACTCACTTCCTCCTTGGAGATGTAGCATGGGGAGAAACCTGCCCACTGGGCTTCCACGATGGAGGGTCAGCCTGGCACAATGCTGCTGGCTGACAGAGTTGAGAGTGGGCATCCCCACTGCTTGCGAGGCTCACAGCGCTAAGGCTGAACTGTTGGGTGAGCAGCTCACCCGCATATATAGTCAGCCAATGTATCCACCCAAAGCAGACTCCTGAAAGGTTTTGTATGCAGCAGATCCAGAGCCTCTCCAGCCAAGCCTCCTCCAAAACACAGCAGCCCCCAAGCAGAGCAGACAATAAAAGCCCAGTAGGGTAATCGAGCTAATAAGCAGAAGCGTTTCTTCCCAAACTTCCCTTGCTCTGTTGAGTTAACGCCGTGTTCTGCCTCTCCCTCTGTCATCTCCATTTTGGGGTCAACAAGGCCTCCTGCAACAGGGTCCATGAAAGGAGACTGAAGGAGAGAGGAAGGAGGGGCAACACATGGCAGGCATGAGCCACCCTGTTGCCTGTTATTTGTGTGCGCTCCCTTCTCTCCCTTTTTTCCATGGAACAAAGGCAACTGTCAAACAGGCAACAGTGAGTCTGCTTAATGTAGAGATGCTTCCAGCTGCAGGGCCCTGACCTTTGAGTATCCCAGGGCAGGCTTCTCCATGGTTAAAGGAAAGCAGAGTTCTCAGGGCCCCCACCTGCACACAGCAGGGCACACTGCTCCTCAGATGTCTGCAGAAAAGCCTACTATCAGCACAAAGAGGCATTGGCAGCTCCAATGTGCTGTAAATAATATCAGGATCTTGAGGGTGCTGAAGAAAAAGAGGTGTGGGGAATTATAGTATTGCAGAGTTGGAAGGGGCCATGAGGGTCATCTAGTCCAGGCATTGGCAAACTCGACCCTCCAGATGTTTTGCGGCTACAACGCTCATCATCCCTACCTAACAGGACCAGTGGTCAGGGATGGTGGGAATTGTAGTCTCAAAACATCTGGAGGGCCGAGTTTGCCTATGCCTGATCTAGTCCAACTGAAGGATTTGCCTGGTGCTTAAATAGAGGCAGCCCTCAACCCTAGAATCTTTTCAACAACAATTCACATAAACTACACAAAGCTGGTAAAACTGTTCCTGGACTGCTCAGTTTCAGTCTACAGATGATAGGGAGGGCAGAAGTAGAATCCTTGCTTTGAGAAATCTAGCATATCACAGAGAAGACCAAGGTGGAACTCTCCCCCTGGACATGTGCTTTTCTCTGCACATCAGAGGCATCATTGTGATAGATGGGCCTTGGTTCATGCAAGACAGACACTTCTCACCTGCCGTTTGAATCTTTAAGGTGGAGGGTTATTCTCTTCTTAGAAGACAAAAGTCACATCCTCTCAAGTCAGCTTGCATTGCATATGTATAATAAAACCACAACTTCAGTAAAACACAATCTAAAACACCAACTTCAGATATTGAAGACCAAGAGCAATAACTACAGTGGATAAAAACTTTGACACATTAATGGCTAATCAACCAGCTCACACAAGAATCCCAAACCTAACAGTCTAAAAGTCTATAATCTGCAAACCAGCAGCTTCCTTAATATAATCATCTAAACCAAAATGGAAGTGCTGGGTCCAATCACATCTCTCTTAATGGGGGGCCAAAAGGCAGAGCCTCTGAAGCTGATCTTCAGGCAGGATTGCCATGCGTGTGCATGTGTGCTCATGAGTGTGCTGAATTTTTCCGCAGTATGGATCCCATATTCAGAGTTTACACATTGGAGTACATGCTCACAGGGCCCTGAAGTGGCCCTGAAGTAGAACTTGGGCAGTGTGTGAGGAGGCATAAACAACTTCCACCTGTAGCAGAATAGCTGGATGGGGGATACATCTATACTGGCTATTTGTGGGGAAAGCCATGTGGCAATCCCTCTGGATTAAGTACCGTATATTGTTATGGCCAACCATTCCTTTGTTAGGCAGATTGCTGGTTAATAGTCCAGATAATCAGCTGATTGTCTTGTCAATGGCTGTTAGGAGATGGTTTCCTGAGAGGTGCATTTGCTTGAGATACCCATCAAAAGCTCAAGGAGAGGGGTGTTTGTGTGTTTGTGTGGTATGAAAACAGCAATTTGCAAGACACAGAGATCACTTCCAACCTGTTTACTGAATGTTCATCCTGATTTGTTACACATTCCCTCAAATGATTACTCAACACTTCCCAGTGCATTTTCCCATCACTTTCCTTACTACAATATCCGCCCTCCCTTACCCACAGGTGGGCAGGGTTTGCGGCAAAGGCCAAAGGAAAAGAGGCTGACTCCTGGGCTCAAGCCTCTTTTGCTGCTCTTCTGGGATCAAGATCAGGATCAGGAGTGCATCCAGGTGGCCGGACTGAGGTAAGTAACCGGCCTTCTTTATTTTTGCTTGCATTTGGGTGGCGGGGGGGCATCGCTCCCCACCGCCGCCTGCGCGGTGCCCCTTCCTACCCAGGCGGGCAGCGCGGGGCTCCAGCAAGGCCGCGGCTGGGCCTGCTTGCTTTTACGGCGGGGGAGGGGGCACTGGGAGGGCGGCACAGGCCTGACTAGGCCTCAAAAACGCGGCCTAGTCCCTTTTCTCAGTGGCGGGGGGGGCATTGCCCCCGCAGGAGGTGCCTGCTGACCCAGGAGGCTCTGTTGAGATTTAAGATTTAATTTGTCTGTTGAGGCTACAAAAAGACAATTGCCCAAGAGCATGACATCCACAGTCTGGAAGTTGCCAAAGTATGGGCACAGTGGCCAAGACAATTCTGCCCTATGAGCCATAGCTGGCAAGGAGGCTGGAACCAGAGATAGGCTACCAAGACCACCTGAGCTTCTGTGACAGCATTGAATCCAGGAGTACCCCAGGAGGGTATGATCCCATCCATAACAGGCTGTCTACCCACTTCCCTGACATGAGAACTCAGAACATGTAACACCTTTCTCTTTTCAGGATTCAGCTTCCATTTATTGGCCCACACTCAGCCCATCACTGCCTCCAAGCCACTGTGGTCTAACATCTCAGCTGCCTCTCCTGATTCAGGTGGAACAGAGAGACAGAGTTGCATATTGATGACACTTCACTTCAATTTTTCTTCTGCGCATGCCATCACACACCCTCTGTGTTCCTTGCTGCTCCCTGCACAGCTCAGGGGCAGGTTGAGGGCAGCACCGGCAAGGCAACGACAGCCGTGTGTAGCCCAGAAACCGAAACCGCCACAACACGCTGTCACATAGGGATAATGAGCAGCCGGCTTGCCAAGTCACACTCTGCAAAGCACCTTGCAGCCTTTTCTACAGGAAACGGAAATTACGACCTTCCAGTTGTTAATCATCTGTAATTTGGACGATTCGCCTCCTGGCTATCAAGGCAATTTATTTCAGTGGGCTTCATAACATGGTGTCTGCTCATGGCGACATTCCCTCAGGCCTTCGCCCACCCTACTTTTCTTCTCCAGCACAGGAGGGTGGAGAAACTTCATACTCAAGAGGTCTCACAAATTGTCTCCACCAGCCAGCTGTTTTTTGGTCTCCTTGTTCACCTGACCAGTTCCCAGTTCCCATCCTGCCTTGGCTCAGCTCCAGTATGGCTGGCGGGGCACAAGGAGGATGCTTTTCCTGGGTGGGGATAATGCGAATGAAAGTGGTGTGAGAGAACCATGGTTACCCACAGCCCTCACAGGCAGACTTCTCTGTCCTAGTCTTCTCTGGTCAAACAGGTCTAGCAGGATCTTGATCTCTGGTCAAACAGGTCTAGCAGGGTCTTGCTCTTTGGTCAAACAGATTTTGTAGGAGTTTTTGTTGTTGTTCTTATTGCTGCTGCTGCTGCTGCTTTAAAACATTGCAACATCTCTTTGAGAGCCACACACTGCAGCAGGACTGGAGGGAGACCCCTGGGTGTCCCTCAGGCCACAATGATCCTGCCATGCTCCCTTCATCCAAGCCTTTGGAAAACTCGCCCCTGCTCAGCCAAAGCCTCAGAGCAGCAGTCTAGACTTCCCACTGCAGCGGAGCCTCTTGTTTTGCCTCAAAACCCATCCAGGCTCCCTGCTGCACTCGGTGGCTGATTAACGATTTTATTTTATTTTATTGTTGCTCAAAGCTAAAGCAAAGAAAGAGCCCTTGGCCCCCTTTGAAGGCAGCTTTTGCCGCCACTTTTGTCTGGCGTTTACGGCAGATTTGGGCCCCGCCAGCGTTGGCGGAGAGCGCCAGCCTCTTTCATGGCGCAGTCTGTACAAAGGCGGCGGCAGCAGCAGAGATTAATCAGATGAGCCAGGCAGGGGGTCACTCCCGGCAGGATCACACTTGGCCGCTAATACATGAAGTGCGCAGCCCACAGGGGTTCCGGTTAATTATTCATATTTTAGCAAATCCAGACGTGTGTCGTATTTAAAGTTCTAACAAGTTGTTCCAGTCCCCAGAGCGATGTTCCTCACCACAGGTCCTTCCTTTACCCCCGTCCCCCATTTCAAACCTGTTTCTGCTTTTCTTTTAATTTAATTTTCACCTCCTGCTTTTTTAAAAAAACATCCTCTTCCTTTCACTGCAGTGCTTTGGTGTGGACAGGACAGGGTATATTATAAAATAAAAAAACCTGAAAATTCTGCACCTAATTAATCCCAAATTCTACACCAAGAAAATCCACAGCCTGTCTAAGGGATGCAATTAAACCTACGTGTGTGTGTGTGTGTGTGTGTGTGTGCAGATATTTGCATAGTTTATATAATGTATTCTGCAACATCAGCCTCCACCCACATGGTCCCCTCCAGATGTTTCAGACCACAGCTTCTGTCAGCGCCAGTGGGCATGGCTGTGCTTGCTGGGGCTGACTGTGATCCAGACATCTGGAGAGCCCCCAGTTGGTAGAGACTGGGCTAAGTCATGGGGAGGAAGCAAGAGTCATGCCTGCCACTGGAGCTCTGCCCCTGAGCAAATGAAAATTGACTCTTCCCACTTCCCTAACCCCCATTTTAAAGATTTCACTTCATGGCCATGAGGACTAGAAACTTGCTTTGAAACAAAGAAAGCTGAGACTCTCACACCTCTGAATTCTGCACCTACATCCATTCTAGGGAGGGATGCAATGTCACACTTCTGATGATTGTTGCGTCAGCAGAAGCATTTCTGCTTGCAAGACAGAACAATCTCCCCTCTCTTTCCTACCCTGTGCTGTTCCAGGGCTTCTCCCCACCCTCCAGAGCAGATTTGGGGGAGGACACAGTGGGAGGAGATGGAAGAAGCCCTGTTGGCCTTGAGTTGGCTTCTGCTAGCGTACTGGCTTAGCTGAACCCAGCCCCTAGTTGTAAAGAACGTCAGTCCTAGAAGATAAAATGAGTGTTCCTCTGAGCACATGCAGAGTTCTTTCCACACACCACTGAATCGCTACTGCCCACCTCGCCCTGTCTCAATCATTCGTCTTGAAAGCATCTGCCAATAACAGGGTCTGTTCACTCTCAGCAAAAATATTTGCGCTTGCCTCCCAGCGAAGGGAGGCTTCCTTTGCCAGTAGTCTCACAGTGGGAGTGTGGCTGGCTGCGGGGGGGGGGGGGAGCCTAGGGAAGATGGAGAAAGATCAAAGTACAACCTTCATCTATTTTAATAAGTCAGCACCCAAGTAAATCACCAAGCCCTAGTGAGCTAGGGACTTTCTAGAAGAGATCAAAGTCCCTTTTTGAAAACTATAGGAACTGGGAGAAAGTGGGGAGATTGGGGAGGGAGAGGGAAGGGGGGCAGGAAGAAAGGAGGAGGTGAGAGATTGACCATGTTATCAGCACGACAGATTTAGGAGCAAGAGTGCTGGCATCTCCCAACATGTGGCAAAGAACTCTGAATGATGTTATTTCCTGAGCTCATCAAAAGTTTCTTGGG